GTAGATGCTTTAGACCACTGAGCCATCTCACCAGCCCTGAGGTCTTCTTTCTGACTGTAGAAATTCCTTGTAAATTGTTTTTTTACTTTAAACCTCTCATGTTTTTATATGTTAATAAGTCCACATTCTTAAAGTAATTAGGACAGCATTTTCAGTTCCTCTCACAAGCCCTGTTGGCACATTATCACTGAGGAAATGAGTTTCATTATCACTAAGGGAAAGTAGGAACATTAGTTATTCAAATTCTATTTGAAACTTTGAAATATAATATTAATATTTACTGTATTGTCACAGGAAAAAAACTCATAAACACTGGAAGAATTTGGGAACAGAACCATACTGATTAGTTAAATGAAGAAGATAGTTGCTATTTTTATGAAGTTGGAGGTTTTGCCAATAATTCCCTTTGAGTGCCAGTGGTATCAGCATCGTTGTGAGAGTTCAGAATGCGTTTTCTGCCCTCAGCCCATACTCTGGCAAGTCAGGTTGTTCTTGTGTATCAAGTGACATTCCTTTCTAGGCCTAGAGTCAAATGGCTAGATTTGGCTTTTTAAAAACTGTTAGAGGGCTGGTGAGATGGCTCAGTGGTCTAAAGCACCTACTTAGAACAAGCTTAGCAAAACACAGGGACCACGGTTCAATCCCCCAGCACCACATGCCAGCCAGCCCCGCCCCCTGGTGGGCTGAGCTGGCCACACACACACACACACACACACACACACACACACATAAATAAAATAGAACTATTAAAAAAAGGAATATTTAAGATAAAAAAAATAAAAACTGTTAGATGCATTTTAGATATAGTTAATAGCATTCATCATAGGGAATTTGTAGCTGTACATGACGTACTGTGCTTCTCTTTTCTCCCATTCTCCTCCCTCCCTTCAACTCTTCTCCCCTTGTAGATTTGGCTTTGACCTGCCATTTTCTGGTGTTAGTGATCATTAGGTCTATTTTCCTAGTAAGCATATTTCATTTTCACCTTTCTAATCAAGGTGGCTGACTGATAAAATTGTTTGTGGTTTGTTTTTTTTTAAACTCTCTGGTTGATTTTTTAATTTTTATTTTATTTTATTTTTTCATAATTTTATTGAGAAAGAAATAGCAATGAGACAGTCTCAAATCAAATTGGTAGCACAGTTTCAATAATTAACACATTGCATACATTCTTCCTAGTGGTTAATTGCTGTACAAGATGCGGACATGATACTCTAGTTCAAACACCATTAGAACAAATCCCTCTATTCATTAAGAGAATGTAACTATATATCTATCCTAACCACTTTGAATACACAGATACAAAATGGACATTCATCTGTATCCCCTTTTTTTGTTAAGTTCCATTATTTGAATATTATAGGTGTGTTAACTCAGCAAAATATTCTAAAAGAGTCCAGTAGTCCATAATAGTATTGGGTCTTCTGCTTGACTGGCAGTGTCAGAAATTGTTGACCCGAGTCCCCTATAGCTCAACATAACAGCATGGCTTTACTTCTTACATTTCGTTTTTATACTTTTCTGCTGGATGGTAAAATTGTTTGTGTTTAAGAAGTCACTAGCTGCCCTTCTGTTATTCCTCCTATAGAGCTGAAGGAAAAGCTTCCCCTTCCCCTTCCAAATAAACTAGCGGTGGACAGGTAATAGGAGAAAAGGCAGCACGCTCAGTTGTTGAACTTGGATGGGGATCACAGCAGAGCGATCCCAATACATGAGAGGGGTTCAGAGGCTTAGATGTCTTTTTTCATAGAGCAAAGGGAGATAATTTTGGAGAGTTAGTAAACAGTTATTAGGGGGAACAAGTTGGACAGGAGACAGATAATAGATTGTGACCGTTCTTTCCAGGTGTATCAGCATGGGACACACACTATCCAGGTGTGACAATGTTTCTGTTTTCCTTGTAATTGGTAGAGAAAGCTCAAGAAGGGATGGGAAGGCAAATTATTTTCTCCTCTTACCATGTGGTCTTCAGGCAGATAAGTGAACATCAGAGTCAAGTCTTTTCTAACATCTGCTGATCTGCAGGGGCCTTTAATTTAAGTAATCAGCATACCAGGGTGCTGAATTTTGGAGTGGTAGTAATTCCCATAGGTAATTCCCAGAATCCTATGCTTGAATTGGTGAATTCTTTTACATGTTCAGTTACTGTTCTTCTTAATTTTGTGTCTTTTTTTTTTTTTTTAATGATTTGTTATTTTAAAAGAAAAGAATACAGAATTATAGACACTCAAGTTAGGAGAAAAATAACCTGTCCTAAGGCAAGTAAAGTACTAATTAGTATTCTTATTTTAGGGCTGAAGTCATGTGCATAGATCATAGCTGCTTAGAATTTTCTATACAAGCTCATAAATAAGCAGACAGCATTCTTTTGTCTTGCCAGGCTGTCATGCATTATTAAGAATGGGAATTAGTATTCGTGGATCATTTGTGGCATGTTTTGCCTCCATGGAATGTTGTCCTGTGCTTGATTATATAAGTTGCAGATTTTAGTAAAGTTTTAGATTCTCAGGTATTGTCAGTATCTTTCCCAGGATTTCATAAAATTATAGTGGTTAAAAAGTACCTCTTAGGCTATCTTGACTCAGAAGATGAAACATTTACTTAAAGAGCTTTGACATACAAATTGTTTTTGTAAGGACTATATGCTCTTAAGTAATGGAGTGCACCTTGTTCTTAGAATCCTTTTAGTCCTTCATCGGTGTTAGTAATGGAAACGCGAAAGCAGAAAGTTGTGGTTAAATCTTAATCTTGGCTGTATTGTCATGCTGTTCTCTTCTTAAATAGAACATGAAGGAAATATTTTACTTCTAAAGAATTTGTTTAAGTGAGCAACACATTTTATTTATTTAGAAAGGTTTGTACTGCCTTTTTACAGTGTTCAGTGAGCTTGTGGTCTTGGATTCTCAGGGTTTTTTCCTTTTCTCTTAAAAAAGAAAAGGGGGGGGGCAGCAGACTGTTCAGTCCACTTCTAGTCCAGTGCGCTGCATTGAGCAGGCTCTTCTGAACTCTGCAGGTAGGCTGTATTGATACCTTCCATCCTGGCCTCTGTGGCCACGGCACAGTCCATGTGCCTTCTAGTCCAGTGCGCTGCATTGAACAGGCTCTTCTAGTCCAGTGCGCTGCATTGAGCAGGCTCTTCTGAACTCTGCAGGTAGGCTGTATTGATACCTTCCATTCTGGCCTCTGTGGCCACGGCACAGTCCATGTGCCTTCTAGTCCAGTGCGCTGCATTGAACAGGCTCTTCTAGTCCAGTGCGCTGCATTGAGCAGGCTCTTCTGAACTCTGCAGGTAGGCTGTATTGATACCTTCCATTCTGGCCTCTGTGGCCACGGCACAGTCCATGTGCCTTCTAGTCCAGTGCGCTGCATTGAACAGGCTCTTCTAGTCCAGTGCGCTGCATTGAGCAGGCTCTTCTGAACTCTGCAGGTAGGCTGTATTGATACCTTCCATCCTGGCCTCTGTGGCCACGGCACTTTAAAAAACACGAGCAACAGTCTTTTCTCTTAAGACTTTAGATTAGGATCAATGCCTCAAGGACAATGAGTGCATATATTGCCGTAACTAAAACCTTCTTGGTATTCTGTGACTATAAAAATATAACCCACCAATTACTTGATGATATCTTTTATTTTGAAAATATCTTCTAATCTTAAGTGATAGGTAGAAAAACTGTGTTTTGTAACTATATACAACAAATGAAAATACTGAATTTGAATCTTTTAGCTGTTTCACCAGGTTTATCCTTGGCTAAACTTTTTTTTTTTTTTTTTTTGACTAAAAATTGAGCCCAAGGCATCACTGAGCTACATCATCAGCCCTTACTGCACTCCCTCCCCCGCATTTTTTTGAGACAGGTTCTTACTAAATCACTAAGTTGCTAGGCTGCACTTGAACTTTCAGCAGAGAGTGCTGGGATTACAAGCATAGCTTGACTAAACACTTATTTTTTGTGAATCAAAATATTTTTGTCCAGGTGTGTTAAATGGCTTGTAGTAAAAAACAACAACAAACCTTTTTGCTTCTTAGGACTGTGCCTCAGGGTTCTGCAGAGCATGACAGGAGCCTCACAGCTCCTGCGTGTGCTTGCTTGCCAAGCTTGCTCCTTGCTTAACATTTATACAGTGTATCCCATGTGCCAGGCGCTTAGTTACAGTTCTGTGTGGTATGTTTTTCATCATTTCAGGGCTGATGAGCATTTTAATATCTCAAGATGGCATTAAATTGGGACCATGTGTTTTCAAAAGAGAAGCACCTGGCTCATTGTATTGTTCTACCGTGGCAGCCTTGGGGGGCCAAGATCCATCCTTATGCTTGTAAGGATCACGATGCTTGTGAAGCTGTTTCAGGTGGTTTGCAACTCTTCATAACTGCTGTTTGCTGCCTGCCCACCAAATTCTTTAAGCCATGAGGAACTCTTGTGTGAACTTCTAGTCCCTGTTGAAGCACTTTTAAATGTCACCACTCTGTCCCATCTGTCACACATTGTACCAGGTCCATACTCACTTCAAACTATGTGAACTACTTATGTGAGTTGTCCGTTCTGTTTTTGCTGATATTGACATAGACTTGGCGTGGTACCAGTAAACCACACCCCAAAGCTATTATTTAAAAATTATATCTAAAACATTATTAGACTTGTTTTGGCTTGTTTTTGCTGTGGTGGGGTGGAACTGAGGGCCTCCCGCATGCTGGCCACGTGCTGTACCACTGACCTGTATGCCCAGACCCAAACTGCTACTTTGAATGCTCTAAAAATCAACAAATGATTGCTTTCTGTTGTATACAGAAACTCACTACATTTTTCATGTAAAGAGGTGCCACTGCAAGCCATTTTGCCATTAATTAACAAGGCTTCGGATTGCTTCTAATAGTGGCATGTGTTCTCCCCTGGCACACAGACACCTATTATCTGATGTCAGTGGCAGGTGTGTAAAGGTAATATTGGTATGAGCAAATGGCAATATGTCACGCCTTTCCTTTGTCTCCATTTATTTTTAAGGAGTGGTGAATGTGTTGCTAACAACTCCGCTGTGGGTGGTAAACACCAGACTGAAGCTGCAAGGGGCAAAATTTCGGAATGAAGACATTGTACCAACCAACTACAGAGGCATTGTTGGTAAGTGTCCCTGAGTGGCCTCCTCCCCCAGCTGTTCTTTCCCTTTGTCACTGGGATCTATGGCCACAGTAAAGCTACCTCAAGTCCCAGCAACCACCAGGGAGCGTTTGGTTAGCGCACATGCTAGTGGGTTGACCGGACGTACTCACGCTTAGGCCAGTCCCACCTGCGAGACTTACCTGCATTTGTGCCCTCGTCCTCCTGTGATGAGCCTTGAGCTTGTTTTTCTAGTAATGCCAGAAGTACAAGAGGATGCAGCCCTGTATTGTCATTTCAGGTTTGCTGACCTCCTAATGACCAAAGCACATCATATAGCCATGCCCATGACAAGGTTAGCCGAGTATGTTCCCAGAGTGTAGGTGGGAAAGAGTGAAATACAGACACACACACACACACACACGCACACTCACACACTCACACATGCTAGATAAGCACTCTACAACTGAGCCATAATGAAAATACCATATTGGATCTGATGCTTTGAGCATCTACCTTTTAATGGTATCACGTTGCCAGACTTTCCTCTCGTATGCCATCTGTCTTTGCAGTGGGAGCAGTGGTTTTCTTATAAGTCAAATCCAGCGTAATAGACATTCGGAACTGACTTTTTGCTGTAAATCGTGGGTTATCACTCCACAATTCTTTGTAATACAAAGTTCCCAGTAGAGGTAAGAATTTGATATTCTAAAAAATCAGATTGTCAGGAAGAGTTTCCTGTGATTGAGATGACTGAGTAAGTAGCTTGGTGACAATCAGTGTCTGACTGAACCCAGGGCCTTCACACTATGATATTTGCCCAACCTTTAAAACAACTTCTTTGAGTCAAATTCTCACAAAGTTGCTGGGGCTTGACTTGAACCTGTGATCCTCCTACCTGTGAGCCTTCTAAAGTGCTGTGATTATAGACATGTCCCCACCACACCTGGCTTTGATTATTGTTAAAAATAGGTAAGTACAAACATTCCTAGTTTAGTGACCTACCTGCTTAG